CTGGTTGATCCACTCTGAGAAGGTGCTATTTAAGAGACTGAGCTGAATACAGCTCCTCAGACTGAGGAAGTCTCTCGGATGAGAGACAAAACGTTTCTACATTTTTTGTTGATTTGCTTTGTTTTGTTTTTTGTTTTTTTTTGAATGTCCAGAGGACCAGATTGAACTTTTTTAGATTTTTCTACCTGGATTATTGAGCATGCATCAGGAAGGTGCACAGTGATTTTGAACCAGAAAGACTATCATGAGAAAGTTATGACACTCCTTAGTGACTTAACCACTTATGAACCTCTGAAAAGAGATCCAGGAAGTGGAGCTGTAAACAACATCACACTGTAGATGTGACGGTCCAATAGCTCTGAGCCTGTTTCAGTTCAAAGTTAAGTCACATTCTTACTAAAGAAATCAGGAGTTGTTGAACATTTGAACACTGAGACCATACCCAATAAGAGCTAACCCTAATGCACAAAATGTATTTTGAAATTTCTTGATTCATGCTCAGTAATCCAGGTAAAAAATCCAACAAAGTTCAGTCAGGTCCTCTGGACGGTTTCTTTGTGTTGAAACGTTTTGTCTTTCATCCAAAAGACTTCATCAGTCCGAGGAGCCACAACAAACTCAGTCTTATAAATAACACAATAACGTGGTAGTAGCTGAGAGTTGTTTTTAACAAATACTGAGTGTGATATTTCACATAACAGCATTTTCAGGTTTGACTAAATTGGTCAAACCTGACACGCTGGAGAGACTACGACTCTGTGTTGGCCTGGGAACATCTTGGAGTCCCCTCAGAAGGGCTGGAAGAGGTGGCTGTGAAAAGACATGTCTGGACCTCCCTGCTCAAGATGCTGCCCCCGAGACCTGAGTCCAGAATAAGAGGATCAATGGAAGAATGGATAGATGGATGGATGGATGGATGGATGGATGAATCTCATCATGGAGCCATATATCGATCAATCAATCACTACTTGACCTCACTCAATGTATTGGCCATCGCAAACTGGATTATATTGATTACATTTGTGTGTGAAGGACAACTTGCTTCGCTTCCAGTCCTTCATCTCAATGTCAGAGCTGAGTTTAATTTTATTTCCTTCTCCTCATTTGTTCCTGTTTGCAGTGAGCAACCCATCTTCAGTTCTCGGGCCCACGTCTTCCAGATCGACCCAAGCACCAAGAAGAACTGGGTTCCCACGAGTCAGCACGCCGTCACAGTGTCCTACTTTTTTGACAGCACCAGGAACGTGTATCGGATCATCAGTCTGGACGGCTCTAAGGTGAGTGCAAGAACAGAACCCGTATGATTGTGTTTGTCTGTTTGTTAGCAAAATATCTCATGAGCTACTGGATGGGTTTCAGTGGAACACTGAGGAAGTAAGCTTTACAACTCGTGCAGTCTGATTGAAGATGGCTGCTACAGGTTGTTTTTTATTAACCTTTATTTAACCAGACAAATCCCACTGACATCACAGATCTCTTTAGCAAGGGAGGCCTGGAACTGAAGGCAGACACATGTTTTGGTCTGTGGGAGGAAACCGGAGTCCCTGGAGAAAACCCACGCAAGAACAAGAAGAACATGCAAACTCCACCCAGAGAGACCCCAGGTCTAAAAGACCTTCTTGTTGTGAGGCAACAGTGCTAACCACTGAGCCATCATGCTGTCTTTGATCTTAGCCAACACAAACATGACGTTAACTCAGTTATTTGTTCAGATATTGATCTACAGTTTGGTGTAGTAGTAGGTGAGAGTCATCACTAACATGGATTGTGAGCTCTGACAGATCGGGCTTTATTAATCCTCTTTTCCATTAGCGTCTGTTCGGCACGGTTCGACTTAGTTCTGATGTTTCCAAGGCTTTTCCACTAGCAATGCTTCGTGGAACCAGCCACTTTTTCAGGAACTACTTAGCTCCAGTTCCAAGCGTACCAAGCTGGCCTTAAAACGTGACGTCAGAACACTGTCGGTCACTGACTGGTCAGGGGGCGGAGTCACTGGTTGTTGGAGAAACTTTCACAACAACTCGATCCACCATTTGCAACAACTCAAACTTGAGGAGCGACTGGACCTATTTTAAAAACAATAATGACAACACCGTGGTCTAACGCTGAAGTGCAGGTGTTTTCTGTTTGGTGGCTGACGACAAAATTCAGAGCGAGCTAGATGGTGCTCCACCGGTCCCCTGGCCCTCTCCACCGGAGCCCCCTCAGGCCGGGCAGGGCGTCACCTCCCCGGCTCCAAGCTCCGTTGGTCACCGCGGAGGAGCCTCCAAGCTGCCGACCCGCAGGAGCACGCGAGGCCGGTTCCCGAGCCCTGGCAGACAGGGACGGACTGGGGCGGGTCTGGGACGGAGGGTGGAAATGATTTTTAAAAACATTTTATGTATAAAAAAGTATTTTTCAGTTCAGATAAAAACAAAATTAAACAGTGCAGCTTTATCATGAAATCCTGTTTTCACTTTAATGACTATTAAATAATCTGTTACAGTTAATTCAGCTGATAAATCATAAAGACACAAAATTATTGGATCTCAGGAATATTTCCCTCAAATATGTTTAAAGAAGAGCTACAGCCTTTAGTTCAACTTTATTGAAAGCAAATGTTTGTCAATTTGAAAATTAAAATGAATTAGCAGAAATGCTTTTTTTGTTTTAAAGTCAAATAAATTCTCACCTGTATATGAAACCTGTTTCAGGGTCTTACCACCAGCATTAATGCCACCAGCTGGTAAGGCACGTGTCATCAATTTGAACCCGCCCACTACAACCATTATGGCGTGTAATGGAAATCCAGCTCTACTGTGCTGTACTAGCACTAATGCAAAAGAAGCATTAGAAGTGGGCTGCATGCTTTTCCACTGCACCACATTTTGGGACTGTTGTGAAGGGCTAAGTCAACTGGAAAAAGTCAATTTTAATAAGTTTTATGTTCTTGGAACAGAAAATAAGTTTTAAAACTTGATAAATGAGGCAGTATTATATCTGGATAATAATATATTATTATAATAATAAGAGCAATCCACCCTTTTCCAGATGAGGACCATGGCCTCAGATTTGGAGGTGCTGATTCTCATCCCTGCCGTGTCACACTTAGCTGCAAACCATTCCAGTGAGAGCTGAAGACACGGCACAGCACGATGACACCAACAAGTCCACATCATCTGCAAAGAGCAGAGATGGAATCCTGAGGCTACCGAACTGGAAACCCTCCCCCCCCGGCTGCACCGAAAATTCTGTTCATAAACGTTATGAACAGAATCAATGACAACGGGCAGCCCTGGTGGAGTTCAACTCCCACCCTGAAGGGGTCCGATTGACTGCAAGCAATGCAAACCAAACGCTTGTACCGTTTGTATAGGGACCAAACAGTCCATAACAACGGGCTCCCAATCCCATACTCACGGAGCACCCCCCACAGTGTACCCCGAGGAACATGGTCGAATACCTTCTCCAAGTCCACAAAACACATATAGCCTGGATGGGCAAACTCCCATGACCCCTCGAGGACCCTAGTCAGGGTAAAGAGGTGGTCCAGTGTTCCACAGCCAGGACGGAACCCACATTGTTCCTCCTGGATCTGAGGTTTGACCAACGATCTGACTCACTTCTCCAGTACCCCTGAATAGACCTTACCAGGGAGGCTAAAGAAAGTAATACACCTGCAATTGGAGGACACCTTCCAGTCCCCCTTTTAGAAGAGGGGAACCACCACCCCAGTCTGCCAATCCAGTGGCACTGCCCCCGATGTCCATGCAGTGTTGCAAAGGTGTGTCAACCAAGACAGCCCCACAACATCCAGAGCCTTAAGGAAATCAGAATGAATCTCATCTACTCCCGGAGCCCTGCCGCCGTGGAGCTTTTTAACTCCCTTGGCGACCTCAGCCACAATTATGGACAGACCAACCCCAAAGTCCTCTGACTCCGCTTCCTCCATGGAAGATGTGCCAGTGGGATTGAGAAGGTCAGAGAAGTATTTCCTTCCACCTTCCAACGACATCACTGGTTGAAGTCAACAATACTCCACTTTCACTTAACACCGTGTTAGTAAAGAGCTGTTTTCCCCTCCTCAGCCACCTGTTGGTTTGCCAGATTCTCCTCGGAGTCAACCAAGAGTCGTTATCCAGGATCTCACTGAACTCCTTAGATAGAGAACTTTACTAATTGGCTTTTATGTGAATGTTTCTGTAAAGTGCCCTGAGACAACTTTGTTGTGACTTGGCGCTATATAAATAAACTGAATTGAATTGAATTGAACTCCTCCCACATCCGAGCTATTTACTCAGCAACAGCCAAGGCTGTGGACCGCTTGGCCCTCCAGTACCCCTCAGCTGCCTCCAGAGTCCCAACAGCCAACTGATAGGACTCCTTCTTCAGCTTGACAGCCTCCCTAACCCGGGGTGTCCACCACCGAGTTCGAGGATGGCCATCGCGAGAAGCACAGACAACCTTGCGGCCACAGCTCAAAGCAGCCGCTTCAACAATTGAGTCACGGAACATGGCCCACTCGGACTCAATGTTCCCCGCCTCCGCTGGGATACAGTTAAAGCTCTTCCGGAGGTGTGAGTTGAAGATCTTTCTGATGGGTTTTTCTGCCAAACGTTTCCAGTAAACCCTCACTACATGTTTGGGTCTACCGGGTCTGTCCGGCATCTTTCCCCGCCATCTGATCCAACTCACTACCAGGTGGTGATCAGTTGACAGCTCAACTCACCTCTTCACCCGAGTGTCCAAAACAAACGGCCGCAAATCAGATGACACAATTACAAAGTCAATCATTGATTATGACCTAGGGTGTCCTGGTGCCAAGTGCACTTATGGACACCCTTATGTTCGAACATGGTGTTTGTGATGGACAAACTAGGGCTAGCACAGAAGTCCAACAACAGAACACCGCTCACGTTCAGATCAGAGAGGCCGTTCCTCCCAATCACGCCCCTCCAGGTCACACTGTCATTACCCACATGGGCATTGAAGTTGTTGTACCTTCCAGTACCCCTGCCAAGGACTCCAAGAAAACCAGATACTCTGAACTACCATTCGGCGTATAGGCACAAACAACAGTCAGAGCCCGTACCCAACCTGAAGGCACAAGGAAACTACCCTCTCATCTCCTGGGGAAAACGCCCAACACACAGGCACTAAGTTCAGGGGCTAAAAGTATACCCACACCAGCTTGGCGCCTCTCACCATGGGCAACTCCAGAGTGGAATAAGATCCAGCCCCTCTCAATGAGATTGGTTCCAGAGTCCATGCTGTGCGTTGAGGTGAGCCCAACTATACTGTATCTAGTCGGTATTTCTCAACCTCACGCACAAGCTCAGGCTCCTTCCCCGCCAGAGAGGTCACATTCCATGTCCCAAGAGCCAGCTTGGTAAGCCACTGTCAGAGCGCCAATGTCCATGCCATCGGCCACTGCCCATGGAGTCATGCAGCCAACTCATATGGCCCCTCCTGCAGGTGGTGGGCCCACAGGAATAGTGGGCCCACCACCTGCAGGTGTACCCTCTTTACCCTCACTTGGGTCTCTCAAGGACCCTAGTGAGGGTAAAGAGCTGGTCCATTGTTACACGGCTAGGACAAAACCCGCATTGTTCCTCCTGGATCTGTGATTTGACCAATGATCAGACTCGCTTTTCCAGTACCCCTCAATAGACCTTACCAGGGAGACTAAGGAGAGTGATGCCCCCAGAGCATACCCTCCGGTCCCCTTTTTTGAAGAGAGGAACCACCACCCCAGTCTGCCAGTCCAGTGGCACTGCCTCCGATGTCCACGCAATCTTGTAGAGGTGTGTCAACTAAGACAGCCCCACAACATCCAGAGCCTTAAGGAAATCAAGGCGAATCTCATCCACCCCTGGATCTCTGCCGCTACGCAGCTTTTTAACTCCCTCTGCAACTGAACTAGTATAGCCCCTCCTGCATATGGTGGGCCCACAGGAAGGCAAACCCATGTTGCTTCTTTGGGCTGAGCCCGACCGGGCTCCCTGGGTAGAGACCCGGTCACCAGGCATTGGCCGTCAAGCCCCTCCCTCAGGCCTGGCTCTAGGGTGGGGCCCTGGTAACATGTCTGGGCAAGGGACACTGAGCTCTGTGATTTATGTTGTCCATCAAAAGTCTTCTGAATCACTCTTTTTCTGGCCTGTCACCTAGAACCCATCTGCCTTGGGAGACCCTACCAGGGGCCATTACAATTGCCCCTGACAGCATAGCTCCTAGGATCATTCAGGCGCACAAACTCCTCCACCACGATAAGGTGGCGATTCAAGGAAGATTGTTAAAACTCATGCATCTTTAAAGATTTAGTTTTAAACATAATTTGAACAATACTTGGAGTCCAGCTCTTCTCCTATAATGTTTTATTGTAGATTTATGGTTGGTTCCATTTCTCAGAAAGTTGTCTGTCAAACTCGTAGAATCAGCAGGTGTTTTCTGGTTTGACCCTCTGCAGGCCATCATCAACAGCACCATCACCCCCAACATGACATTCACCAAAACCTCTCAGAAGTTTGGTCAGTGGGCCGATAGCCGGGCCAACACCGTCTACGGCCTTGGCTTCTCCTCAGAGAGTCACCTAGCCAAGGTGAGAAAAACCCCAAATCCTGTTTTTATTTGTTTTGGTAATAATTTTAATTGGAGTCATCTACTCTGGTTTCAGTTTGCAGATAAATTTGCTGAGTTTAAGGAAGCAGCACGATTAGCAAAGGAGAGGTCTCAGGAGAAGCCGGAGCTCACCAACACTCCTTCTCAGGTACCAAAGAGCTGCTATCAAAACCACGAACAGCTTTATATCAAAGGATAATTTCACAGTATTTTAATCCGGGCGCGATTCATTTAGTTCTATTTCATCCCTCCTGACTGCCAGAGGGCAGTGCTGAAAGCACTGAATGTTCCCTTTGCGCATGCGCTGTTCTAGTAATAATACCAACGGAGTCACAGGTGTGACACAGATGACCAATCAGAGGCTATATAGCCTGACGTCATCCGCAGCTCTGCTCCTTTTTTCTTCTCGCGTGCGGTTCAATCCAGGGCTTCAGCCCTTGGACCTTTTCACCATCGTCAGAGGCCTGAGTGCCCACTGGCCGGAGCAGCGTGTTCGCCCTCCTAGAGGCCACAACGGTTTAACCTTCATTTAAGGTATTTCTGCTGTTTGTCGGGGACTATGGTGGCTTTCGCCCCTCTCCCAACTTACAGCGTTTGACTACTGTGTGTGTGTGTGATTCAACACTAGTGAGTAGTCTTTTACTTCTATTTTGCCTTGGTTAGCTGCTCCGTCCGCTCTGTTGGAGGCGACTACTGTGTGTGTGAGATTCAACACCCGTGACTAGTCATTTACTTCTATTTTGCCTTGGTTAGCGGCGCCGTCCGCTCTGTTGGAGGTTTCCAACCGCTCTGTTGGTTTGGATTATGCTCCGAAATTAATTACGTAAATAGCTGTGTTGTGGTCTTGTTTTCTAATTTGTAAAGGCGAGCGTTGGTGCACCCTCTATCAATAATTTTTCACCAACCTCATAAACAGTTGGACTGAGCTAGCCGTGCTAGCCTCTCTGGGTTTTGGCCTTGTTTTTACTGGTGAAGGCTAGCGTTGGGCACCCTCTCCTAAATCGTTTTCACCAATCTCATAAACAGTTGGACCGAGCTAGTGGTACTAGCCTCTTTACGTTCTGGCCTTGTTTTCTACTGGTAAAGGCTAGCGTTGCGCACCCTCTCCTAAATCATTTTCACCAACCTCATAAACAGTTGGACCGAGCTAGTGGTACTAGCCTCTCTACGTTCTGGCCTTGTTTTCTATTGGTAGAGGCTAGCGTTGCGCACCCTCTCCCAATCATTATCACCAACCTCGTACATGGTTGGACTGAGCTGGCATTACTAGCTGCTCTGAGTTTTGGCCTTGCTTTCTATTGGTAGAGGCTAGCATTTGTGCACCCTCTCCCAATCATTCTTACCAACCTCGTACACGGTTGGACTGAGCTGGCATTACTAGCCGCTCGGAGTTTTGGCCCTGTTTTCTATTGGTGAAGGCAAGCGTTTGCGCACCCTCTCCCAATTATTTTCACCAACCTTGTAAATGGTTGGGCTGAGCTAGTGGTACTAGCCTCTCGAGTTCTGGCCTTGTTTTCTGTTGGTGAAGGCTAGCGTTCGAGCACCCTCTCTCAATCATTTTCACCAACCTCATGAACGGTTGGACTAAACTAGAGATGCTGGCCTCTCTGAGTTCTCGCCTTGTTTTAATTGTTTAAGGCAAGCATTTGCGCTCCCTCTCCCAATCATTTTCAGCAACCTCATACACGGTTGAACCAAGCTAGCGGTTCCAGCCTTCATAAGTTCTGGCCTGTTTTTTATTTGGTGAAGGCAAGCGTTTGTGCCCCCTCTCCCAATCACTTTCACCAACCTCATGAGCGGTTGGACAGGGCTAGCGGTGCTAGCCTCTCTGAATTCTGACCTTGTTTTAATTGGTGAAGGCAATCGTTCGTGCCCCCTCTCCCAATTTTTGGCCTATCCTTTCATCCTTGTTTTCGTCCTGTATCTTGGACATAGCTGGCAGTGCCAGCCTCTTTGCTGAGTTGCGGTTTTTTACTTGAGTGGAGGCCCTGTCAGAGAACCCCTGCATGAACTGCAGCTTCATGCCTCGTGCTGTGAGGGTGGCTTGGCTGGCCCAGTTTCGCAACAAGCTCGGCAGTGACCTCCCGCCTTCTGGGCAGGAGGCTCCATCTAGGGGCCCGAAGCGCCAGACTTAGGCCGCAGTCTCTGTGGCCCCTCCTAGAAAGAGGCGAGCCAGGTCTGATCAGGGTCTCTCCACAAGGGTGGAGCAGCTGTCCACAGAATTGGCAGAGATGAAGTCCCTTTTTCAGGCACGCCAACTGGGGGCTGAGCCAGTGGCAGCGACCGGGCTCTCCTCCCCACCCATGCCCGAGTTGGCTGTGGGGGAAGAAGTGTTATCCTTTGCTGCCTCTGCCTCTCACCTTTTAGGTGAGGAGGAACAGTCATCTCAAGTCTCAGAGACTGGTTCATTTTCTTCATCTCGGAGTGTACCTAGTGGGTCAGGTGACGACTCAATGCAGGACGTCAAGCGTATGGCCCTGAGACAACTGCAACTGGAGGTCCCACAACCAGAGGAGTCCACCCCTGGAAGTGCCTTCTTCAGGCGCAGACGGGCCCCTCCTTCCTTTTCTGTCCCTCCATCAAAGGAGTACCTGAGGGAGTTGCATGGTTGCTGGCAGGACCCAAAGGTCTTTGCGCACCTCTCCGCGGATGGCGGAGTGTTGGCGGCTATGCATAAGCCAGCTGCAGCGGGCTTGGAATGCATGCTGGTGATCAAACCTGCTGTTACATCACTCATCATGTCATCAGAGGAAGTTCTACACAGTGCTGTTTGGTGCCTGTCCAGGCACAACAGACAAGGCAGCAGTTTTCAGGCCTAAGCAGGGTGATGCCCACTCCACATCCAAGGCGGCCGTCAGCTGATCCCAGCATTCGGCCGCCGCCTCGGGGTCATGATCGGCCGAGTGGTTTGTTACCCTCATGTGGTTCAACAGGGACCCGACAGGAGCGTTTGTGAGTCGGTCCACCAACCAGCTGGGCGGGTTTGGATCGGGGACTCTGGCTGCCCCACCCCACGACCCCCAGGAGCTGTGGAGGGAGACATTGATGCCAGCGGGCCGACTGTCGGATACTTATCCACCAGCAGCTCAGTTACTGGGCGGCTCATGCCGTGGACCCATGGGTGGTTGTCACTCTTACTCATGGTTACCGACTACAGTCTCGATGGCGGCCTCGCATCTCACGCCGGGTCAAGGTGACTATAATCGCCGATCCGGTGAAAGCTCGAGCACTAGACCAGGAGTTTTTCGCCCTCCTGGCCAATGGTGCAATCGAGGCAGTGGACCCTCTGTAACAACCCAGAGGCTATTACTCGACTTACTTCCTCATGCAAAGAGGACAGCGAGTTTCATCCCATTTTAGTTCTGAGGGGACTCAACCAATACCTAAGGGTGCTGCCCTCCCACATGCTCATGACAGCAGAGGTCCTTCAAGCTGTCACGAGGAGAGAATGGTTCATGTCTATCGACCTGCAAGATGCTTATTCTCATGTGCCTATTGCGGCAGAACATCACCGCTTTCTCAGGTTTGCCTATCAGGGTCATCACTGGCAGTTCCAGGTACTCCCATTCGGGCTCTCTCTTTCCCCGAGGGTGTTCACTCGGTGCGTGAAGGCAGCCCTCTCTCCTACGGAGTGAAGGTTCTGCTTTAATAAATGATTGGCTTCTTTTCGCCCCATCTCGGGCCTGTGCCTTACACGACACGAATCGCCTGCTTGCTCATGTGTCCCAGTTGGGCCTTAATGTCAACCTGGAGAAGAGCTGCCTGATCCCTTCCCAGACGATCACCTTTCTTGGGTGGCTCTGGATTCACCCTCCATGAGAGCGCGCCCATCCGCTCAAAGGGTAGGCGGCATACTCCAGTTGGTCAGTCGGTTCAGGCTTGGCAGGCAGCTCCCCTACGTTGCCTTCCAGCAGCTTCTAGGGAACTGACGTCAGTCACTCGGGTGGTGCCCTTAGGCCCGCTGTCACTTTGCCCCTTGCAAAGGTAATAATAATAATAATGAATTTAATTTGTAACGCACTTTTCATTAACAAAAATCTCAAAGTGCTACAGAGTGCAACTAAAATCAATGATAAAATCAACTAAAATCTGTGATAAAATCAACTAAAATCAATGA